CTTAAAAAAGATCATATTTAGACTTTTTGTTGTTTCCCAATCAGTCTATACTAGTACATGTACCTGTTTAATTGGAATCAAAGAATAAATTAAATAGTAAGTAAAATTTTGTTCTCACTTCTCAGTGCGATAATTCTGATTAAAGTACCAATGCAAGTGTTAAATCCTAAATATTTAATCAAAATTACTAGACATTTCTTAAAATTATCTTTGACTTTTGATTTTATATTTTTCATGTTTTTTTTTTTTTATTTTGGCTAAAGTTGAATAATTCAGGTAATTCAGGAAGAAAGACAGAGGAAGAGAAAGAGATCTTTCTTCCTGTACTACCGTATAGCAGGTTTTCTTGGCGGGTGTAAAATTTGGCGTTTTGCCTGCTCAAAGGTGTGCTAATAATCTTGGCGTAATTTATTTTAGCGGACACAAAGCTTTAGCTCTTTGCAGATGAACAATATGATGACTACTGAATATTTTAGCGATTAAAATTTTAGCGGGCTACTCTCAAAACGCCAAAATAAGCCAAAATTAGCACCCCGCTAAAATTACCCGCTATACGGTAATTTATGTAACTATGTAGATTTTTTTGACTATGTACATGTATCACATCAGGTCCATTATTCATTGTCTGGTGACCTAGCTATGTGTCCATGATTGTAATTACCTATCATTGGTAATGATTTGCTCAATAATTATGCACATAATGGCAGAGTCGCCCAACCATGAAGCTTGGGCTTGGGGTGTACCAAGTGATTTGGTAGCAGCAAAAATCAATCCTTTCTTCGAGATGTGAAACATGTACTAAATAAAGTCATCTCCTTTAAGTTCTATTTATAAAGCTCCCAAGGGTTGTCGTTAAAGAACCCAAACACATTTACGTTGCCTGCATCTCGATATCTATTGATAAATTTTTGAATCTAAGAAAACTTCACTAAAACTATCTAAAAGTGTTACGAAAATAGAGTCCTTGGCCAGAAAAGATAAAACTTGTGTGGAAGCTTTAATGCATATTGTAAGTTCAAATTTGTTCAAATTATGACCAAGATGAGGTCACAAAGGGTAATATAAGTCTTATTTTTGAAGTTTAGAAAGACACCTAGAGTTCACGATCATATAACTTTGTATGTCTGTTTGTTTATTTCACATTTTTGTTATCAATTAAAAAGGATTTCAATGTTACGATTGAATTTTTGAAGATACTTTAATTCTAAGTATAGTACAAATTTTATATACATTTTGAATTTTTTATTTAACCACTTTGATATTCTTTTCTATATGTTTTACACCAATGTGAATAAATTCTAAAAAAAAATTCAGAATGTTAATTTTATTTTACACTGTGTATTGAAAATTATTTTCATGTCCTCTATAATATCCCACCCAGACTGTAGACTTGTACAGTGATAGTGAGAATGGACGGTTAACTTCATTTTCTGTCAGTAAAAACTTCAGAAACTCCTCGCCAGGACTCAACAAATGAATCTGATTGATTATAGGGTCTGTAACAAGGATGTTACCGAGGGAATCACACTTCATTAGTTGTTTTAAATACCTATGTTAAGTTCTGTCCACGGTACATGTGTATAGACTTTGTACGACAAATGGATGACATAATCACTAGATTACCCGTTTTGATACTTGTACGGTTCACAACACAGATATCGCCATTGATGCTCTGTGTGACTCTGCGTGGTAATGTAAACAGTCTGGTGTGACCGTCCTCCTGGTACTCATACTCATGGATGACATCACCTGTCACTGTGATGTGTCTCACTAGACGTCTGCTGTGTGATTCTAATTTGTAAAAATCTGATTCTTTGTCTCTCAAGGTGACCAGTAGTCCACCATCCACAGGCTGACAGATTCCCAATGGTACCAATGGATTTTTACTGATGACTGTAGAGACAGATCCTGATGGTGACAGACAATTGATAGATTTGCTGCGACAGTCAGTGAAATAAGCATCACCGTTTTCAGTCAAACACATGTCATTTGGACTGCTTTTAAATTTATGTTCCCTCACACCATTTGTGTTGACCTTTTCTAAATAATCTGATCCAAATTTAGATGTGTAACACTGATCGTCAGTGAATACCTCCAACACAGATATTCCAGTATCTCCATATCGAAATGCATTTCTTTAAGTCACATCAATATCATCTAAATCCAAAGTCTTTCCGCCAAAACATAAGAGTAATTCATCATCGTTTTCACCTCTAGTGAACCTCACTGAATGTTAACAGTTTCTGGCATGAAACTCCAAATTAGACAACATTTTTGTCTGTTCTCTGTGGTTGTCAATCAAGCTGTAATCGGACATTGTGCTGTTGTTTTCCTGCATAAATTTTACTATGTCAACAATTCCTCTCCTCTTCTCCTCTAACTCAGATTTTAAATGCCTTAGAAGATCATCTTTGTAATTTGAATTGTCTCTCAATGTCTTTTAATGGCTTTTTTTGATTTTTGACAGCCTGGCGATTATCTCATCAAAATGATTCTGTAGTTTTTTAATCTCAGAATCGTACAATTGTCTATTTTTTGTGATATGTTTTGCTATCTTCTGTCTCTTCTCGTCAATTCCAAGCAGATCGTTTTCCCTGATTTTCTTCAGAAACTGGATAAGTCCTTTCCTTTTTAGGCTAGCTACCGTGGGTATGGTGTTCCATTTGCAATCTTTATGATCTGTTTTGGCACACTTAACACAAATGAATTTATCACAGTCTTCACATATAATATCAATAGGGAATCCATGGGATTTACACATTTTAATGTGCACAAGAGGAGAGCCAAGTGGATATTCTTCAGAACTCCTTTCAGCCATGATTCTGGGATGAAGCGAACTTGGTTATTATTACGCCAGTGTGTACGTTTAAGATAACTGCCTAGATTGTGAAGTCGGACTTTAAATTTATGAATGGACAGCTAGATGTATAAAGAATTTTAAACATATTGGTGTCTACTGTGACATCAACATGACACATTAAATTAATATTTACAAAAGGTGATACGGGTACATTTCTTTCAGACGTTCGAAAACTGTTTTAATGTATTTCTTAATTAATTGTGAAGACGGCAATGGGCTACAATGCTCATCTGAGTCATTATGTACTTAGCGGTCCAGCTTTACTTCACCAGAACACTTTTAATTATTCACTATATATATTTCTTTGTAAACTTTGATCCCCTATTGTTGCTTCAACCTACCCATTGGAGCAATGACCTGAACACACTTGAATTTATCCTGCCCATCTGAGGATGCTATAATATTTTAATCAATCCTATAATGTTCTTGAAAAAAAAGATTTATTCTTATGTGTTGTAGGTAAAAAAATGTTCATCCACTGTAGTGTAGCCAAACCATCTCTGTGGGGGATCATAATATGAACAAATTTTAATCTTCTCTATTCAAAATATACGGAATACTACCTATGAATGCTACGATCTATTATTTTAGTACCACTTTTCATGCCGTTGCAAGATTTTAACTATGTATTCCTATTATCGTCCATTGTCATCCGTCTCATCATACCGCTAGAGGTCAAAATTTGAAAAGAAATTAAATGTACACGATGTATTGAAGTTTTCACATACTATATTTAGTCTGAACCCTTATGGTACAAGTGTTCTATGTAAAAATTTCAAAGAATATTCTGGACCAACTTTACCTTTAGGGTCATGATTTGAACCGATTTATATATCTACTTTATGTAATAAAACTTTTTAAAAAGTTTCATCTTTCAGACTCACATGTTCTTGAGAGGGAGGCTTTTGAAAAAGGTCGTTTAATTTTTTTATTAATTCTTAATTAACTTCCTTTGAAAAAGTATATAGCCCTACATTTTAAACATTTCGTTAATTTCTATAGGAAATCATACAATACATGTAATATTACAGATCAGTTGTATTTTGTACATCATAAAGAAAAACAAAATTTAAGTGTTGGAAATCTTTTCCATGAAATTTTAACTGCATGTTTCATTGTCATGATTTCATAAGATTGTCTTGACTTGAAAGAAAATAAATTGTGCTATAACAGAAAAATGTGAATAATTTATACAATAAAGCAAAAAAAAAAAAAAAAAAAAATACAGTACAGTCAAGCCTCATTCATATGAGATTATATCCAGATTTCTGAAAATTTGGAACAGATGTATAATATGAATTGTTCAATGAAGCTTCACTGTATTGATATTACTTTTTATTCGCGAGAACTTTAATTTCGAGTAATTACGCGAGAAGGTATGCTCGCGAAAATTTCATTCTCGCGTACAACAGAATCCTTTAACATTATATAGAGCAATGACGACAATTCGTGAAAATTTTTCTCGCTAATAAAGAGTGAATTACCATCTCGTGAAAATAAGGTGTCGCAAAAAATATTTGATCTACAGTATATTGAGTGCAAGTTAGATTTATAAAATAATTTTTTTTTTGCATTCTAATGTGAATGTGGTTCTTGGAGAAATATAGGTAAATTTCACTTTTTTGTATTTATATTTCAAACCTGTCAAGCAGTATTTGTATGATTTTTACTTTGTTTTTCAGATCAATGGACGTCGAGGGCTGCTGCCTGGTTTCTGTATAGAAGAGATTCCCCACAGAAAACTCCTAGAAAACTACAACCTTCATTCCTAACTGATGGTTAAAAATAGTAAGGGGGCCCTGGACATTTTTTTTAATGAATTTATAATGTGTGTCTTTTCAGTGTCAAGCTAACCACTGCCGGAAGGTTGTAACAGTTTCTATGCAATATTCAACAAAATCATCTAGAAACATTTTATGTCCGCACTATTGCTTGAGCAATGATTTTTCTCTTTCTCATTAGAATTTTTACTTCAGTGCTGTACACAGTGCAGTCTGCAATACATCAGAGGTCCATCTCATACTCTTTGAGAAAGATCACATGCAATGTTTAATGTTTAGGACACCTTTTCATTTTATTATGTAATTTTTAAAATATACATGTAAGTTTGCAATATACCTGTACCTATAAAGTATAATTTATATTTTTAGACTTTTCAGAAATATATTTTGTTGACTGTAAATTTTTATTACATTGGTAATGCAACATAAAGTTAATAATTAAATGTTAGCAAAATTGATAAATGTCTTCCCTTTATATATTGTACTAAATGATATTAGTGACATACATTGTAGCACATCTGCTGTTCAAGGATTGTTTCGTATGCAGCATTTCTCATGAACTATAAATTAAAACACCATTTATTATGCTAAAACAATTAGTTAATATACACATTTCACTGTAAATGTGGTTGAAATGAAAATATTATTTTGACTTTGATAAAAAAATATGAGAATTGCTCCCTTAACATATTCTTTAGTTTACGTTATATATGTCGAAGTAAATTTAAAGTTTCTAGGTGAAAATTAATCTTTTATACAACTCTTGTAATTTCACACAAATGCATTGAATCAGAATATATATGTACGAGGGTTGTCCCATAAAATCGTGGACAAAGCGTTTTTCTCGAAAAGTAATGGGCGCACTAAGCTGAAATTTTCAGTAAATGTTTATTCATCATATTTAAGTGTATCATAATGTTTTTGATGATATATATACAAAAATAAAGATTTTATTCTACTTGAAGGTGCACAGGGTACGGTCCTACGGCGCACGGTAAAAATAACAAGGTTGTATTAGAGAATATACAAGTATTAATTCATAATAAAAGTTTTCAATACATAAGATTAGGATGAAAATTATCCTAATTCGATTCCTTAATCAATTCTCTCGTCTTTTTGAAAATTTCAAGGCATTTGGTTAAATTTTGGCTGTTTCCCGAGCATTCGAAATGGAAAAGTTGTATACACAATACACCAAAAATGGGGACGTTTCATGACGTTACGGCGCACCGGAGAGCAGTTCAGGTAGATTAAGATGTTTCAATGACACTTTAAAAGACTTTAAATGAATACGGAAGAACGAAAATATGAAAAATATTGCCAGATTTTAGTATACAAATAAAATGGACGTTTTCTTAGCGAAGTCTTCTTGATTGAGCCCCCAGATAGTACAAAACATGCGGACAGACTGCCATTGTAATAGTAAAAGACGCTGTCAATGTCGACCGTCGATATGAGATTCTCATTTAGTTGACCGATGGTGAGAATACTGTCCGTAACTTGCTCATAAATATTCAGAAGATCGCATGAGTGTGCCACATTGGTTCCTTAACTGGTAATAAACACTCACGTATGTAAATCAATAAAATTTCTAAATTTAAGTGGGGCTTATACAACTTTATTTTAGCAAACATGAAGCGTGACGCTGTTTTAGACACGTCGACGTTATCATCCGTGCGCCGTAGGGTGCTACAGTACATAACATAAAATATCACAATTTGTTAATTTATGCATATATCTATTTGAAATTTCCTATGTATATTTATAATATATGTATTAAAAAGTAGTGAAACTTTCAGGACGCAGTGATGATTATTTTTCGAACTAGACAACTTGTCCACGATTTAACGGGACAACCCTCGTAACAAACTGAAGTTCTTCATTACATGTAAATAAATCCCCTTGGTTCACCCTTCCGGAAATTTGTAAAATAATCCTGTGGGGAGCCTCTAAATTCCTTTAGTTCCCATGGTAACATAGTAGCCCTGCGGGGAGCCCCTCGTTTTACTTTAAATATACTTACCGTCAATGAAAACGCAACACTCTAATTTTAGGGTGAAAAGTATATATGGGTTATAACTATGTACCAAAAAAGTTACATCTTATACTTTGCCAAATCAGTTATTTAACGGTTTAGTGAATTTCTTTCCTCTATCGGAAGTTGCTTTTTAGCCCTCTTAACAGAAATCAAATTTTTGCATTTTTAATAAAATGTTTTGGGTTTTCAAGGTTTTATAGCTGTTTATCATAAGTATTGTACTAAAAATCCCGGGAAAAAACCCTTCTTTCTTTACCGGATGTGATGTCTATATTTCCTCAAAATGACTGATTTTCATTGCTAATGCTGGAGATTCTCAAAATAAAAAAAAAAGAGATGCAGATGCAAATGTACACTATTAAACCACTCATCAGGCTCAAGTGTTTCAATAGCATAAATAACAGTTTCTTGACCGGTAGTCAAAGAATAACTACACTACGCCAAGTTAGAGAAAATTCGACCGCAGTATCTGAACAACAGGCAATTAAAAATGCCCAAGAATATTTATTTCGCTCAGATAAAGACATTGATAAACCTAATGCATGGTAGAAATCGGACTGCGTACATGTATGTTGTACATGGCGGACTAGCATATTTTGATTAAAATGGTCGGAAGGGGGGTGTTTTATATAAATGTTATCTGTTCAGAGGGCTAAAAAATCAACTTTCGGTAATGGAATGAAAACCATTCAACCATTAAATAACTGATTTGGCAAAGTAAAAGATGTCCTAACTTGTTTGGTACATACATGTAGTTATATCCCGTATATAATTTTTCACCCTAAAAGTAGAGTGTTGCGTTTTCAGTGACGGTGAGTATAGTAAGGTTAAAGTGTGCTCTGGGTAGTACCCAGGAAAAACATCAGCCGATAGACATGTTAGTCTAGTGCTACCAGGGGGCCTGTCCATAGAAAACCACATGGGTCTTGTGCCTTATTTTCATGCCTAAAAGTATCTCTACAGAATGTTACAGAGTGTGTAAACTGTCGAGTACTGAAATTCTTTATTATAGAGTAGCCATTTCCATGTTATGGTGTGTGAAAGAGGCCGTAGCGTGTGAGCGAACTATTGCGGTCCATACGACACATCTGTTAAACAGTTCTGTGACTTATATCACCGGGCGGTGACCCACGTTGAACATTTCATTATCTGAATTAAAGTCAGTTTATGAACAAAACATTGTGAAAGTTTGATAATTATTTTTATTGTGAATTTGGAAATAATTATGAATATTTAGTTTCATTGAAAGACATTTCAAAGTGTTGAGCCTGGCGTCGGACCATTGACTCTGGAACCCGAAAAGAACCGAGCGTGCAATGCAGCCCTTTTTACCAAATGGACATGCGCTCTGACTGACGTGGATCAGGACCAACTAACACAGACATTTTCAATTTATTTTATTTTGTTCATTAATTTTTTTTTTTGGTAATTTTCTTTGTTAAAATTTCTGTTTATTTTGTTCTTAAATTTTGTTATTAAATTTTGTTAAAATTTTTATGTTCTTTTGTAAGTTCATCAGGGTGTATAACCCACACCCTCACAAATAGTGGCAGCGATGAGATACATCTGAGCTTGCATAAATCAGGGTTTTTTTTTTGTTTTTCGGAATTTTGATTTTGACTTTGTTTATTTTGTATGTTTCAGTTCAAACTTTCACAATGTCACACATGCCACAGTGAATGTCCGGGTTTATTGCAAAGGGGTCAAGCGTCACGGAGTGTTAAGAGATGTGGCGTCAGGAGCAGGAGGCAATGAGAGCTGAGAGAGATCAGGCTAGAGCTGAACAAGAGTCAGTGAGGGCAGAAAAGGAAGCTGAACGAGAGCTTGAGAAAGAAAGTTTAGCTCATGAAAGAGAGGAGCGTCAGGCTAAAAGAGACAGGGATAAATGGGAGGCTGAGAAAGAGATAAAGTTGAGAGAGTTAGCTCTTAAAGAGAAAGAGTTAGAGAAGAGTAATACGGGTCCCTCCCCAGAGTGTTTATACCCATGGTGTTAATTAAATTTACCCATATTTGAAGAAGGTCAAGTTCCTGATGTTTTTCTTAAATCATTTGAGAAAATAGCGGGGTTACAAAAGTGGGATCAATCTCAATGGGCTGTTCGTTTAGTCCCCTTGCTATCGGGTAAGGCTCTTGAAGCTTAATTTAGATTGTCAGATGAGGAAAGCGATGATTACGATGCTATAAAAACTGCTATAAAAACTGTAATTCTAAAAATGTATGAACTTACCTCAGAGGCCTATAGGGATAAGTTTAGGCAGTGTCGACAGTCCAGTGATGAATCGTTCAAAGATTTTGTGGTTAGGACAGAAAGGTTCTTTAATCATTGGTGTGAAAGAGAGGAAATAAATTCGAACTTTCATAAGTTGTTTGATTTAATGTTGAGAGAACAGGTGATAAGAAGTTGTCCAAAAGAGGTGCAACTGTGGGTTCTTGAACATAGTCCAAAGTCTATAAAAGACGTTATAACTTTGTCAGAGTCAGAGGTTGCACATAAAGGCAGTAATTCAGGTGGTCGTCGTGGTAATGCAGGGGGTAAACCGGGTGCAAGACCAAATAAGTTTGGTTCGGTTCAGTCCCAGAGAAGTAAGTTTATCTTGCAATCAGATCAAAGGAAATATTTTAAGTGTGACAAGGTGGGACATATTGCTCCGAATTGTTCATTGCGTAAAGTTCAGTCAAAATCTCCTCTGAATCAGAAACTAGGTAACCACAAGTACAATGAACAGTTTGGTTTGTGTCTTGATGAGACAATGACTTCTGATAGTGTTCATGAAAATAAAGTGGTGGTTAAGTTGTCTTGTGTATCGATTATTGATGATTCTGGTTTAGAATTAAATTGTGAGACCGGTTTAGATTTAGTGCGTGGAGAAGTTGGTGGACATGTTGTCTCAGTTTTAAGGGATACTGGTTGTTCAACGGTGTTTGTCAACAGTAAATTGGTTGCAGATGAGGATAAGACTGGGAAATCAAGGGTATCACTCTAGCTGACGGTACGAGGAGATCTTGTAGTGAGGCAATAGTAAGTGTGAATACGCCATACATTTCAGGTAAGGTACACGCTCTATGTCTAGATTCTCCTTCTGCTGATGTTATTATTGGCAACAATGTGAGCAGTGTAGTACCTAAGGAAGCATACCCTTTACACTTTGGTAGAGAAGGCGGAAACAGTCGAAGATGAAGCATGTGTAGCGGTCCAAACTAGATCAGAGATTAGGAAACAAGAGAGGGCAGCAAAAAGCATCTAAAACCGAACATGAAGGTATGTGGTGTTACAGGGAGGAATTGATTGAGTATCAGAAAACTGATGAAAGCTTGAAGTCAATTCTAGATATGGCACAAAATAGTCCATATGAGGGTAAGTCATATTTCATCTTGAAAAATGATTTATTGTATAGAGTTTTTGAGAAGAATTCTGACGAAAAAGCTTCCAGATTGTAGCTCCAAAG